AAAAAATTCAATCTGATCTTAACTTACTTTAGAGGTGATTTTTCTCTCATGTTGTGTAAATTAAACTTCAATCATACACAGCAGGCTCCTGCAAAGTGTAAGAAATATATAGAAGAGAGAGACAGCGCTAATTAATTGACAGGCAGCAACCTTAAAAAGGGAAACCCTCCAGGCCCTTTTAAAACAAGACAATATACACAACAATAAAAAGGCAGCGCCAGTAGGAGAATAAAATAAAGTAACTCCAAGTAAAAAAGTCCAATGGAATAAATAAATAAATAAAAAATAAATAAAATAAAAGTTCAACTTAAGTGTCCTTTTGGATAGTCTTTATGGCAGGTAACGCAGCAATAAAGTCTTCATAAGCTGTATAGGTTCCACTCATATAGAAGACAAAAAAGGAGAGAGAAGGACGACCAATAGTGCAGTATTGTATAATATCAAAGGTGACGTGTGGAAAAATAATATAGGAGAACTCACATTTAATAGAGCTTATATCCAGCTCTAGGATAGAAGCGCATGCGGCGGTATGATCCCCGCTTATGGGATATGCTGTGGGTTTCTCTCCGTCAGTGGTGTCCAACTCTCAAATAAGGAAGAAGAGAAACAACCGATAGTGCTCACTATTTAGTAGTCTTAATATAAGTAGATAAAAACGTACTTACAAAAGAGGAGCAGACCGACTGCTCTTGTGTATCAGCATAGGTGGATTGATCCCCACCTTTAGGATTTCTTGGAATACAGGAGACTTCCGAAGTAGATGTTGGTATATAATAGTGAAATACTAAAAATATGCTAAAATATACTAAAAAGCCAGGTAAAAAAGGAGAATAATGTGTATATAGAACTAGAATAAAGAATAGTTGGCACTAATAAATGACCAAAAATTACTTTAATATTGAAATACACAGTATAAAATATCCATAACGCGTTTCGTCAACAGACTTTATCAAATGGAATAACAAACATTTCCTGGCTAGTTGTATTATATAAGAGTTCAGATAGTTTAAATTTGGCGCCAAAATTGATCCATCCAATCAGAATTAAGTTACATTTAGCAGTGTAAAAACATTAAAATACATCAATAAGAGCAAAATATAGGGTATGAGGACACTCATAATTGGCTTTGATAACAAAAACGAAGGTTAGAAAGCATAAATTAAACGATTGAAAATGTGCACATGACGCGCGGCACTTCCGGTTTTCGGATTGAATGCCGCTGTGCTTTATGGGAGATGTAGTCAATAAGCCGCGAATGGCGGCTAAATATACAATATAGGTACTACCATATATTGGGGGACATGAGAAACCAACAAGACCACAAGGTGCTTAAAAACAAGATTGAGCGAACATTGCAGAAATATTAAAAATGGATACTTAAATCATACAGTATCCAAACATTTTATTATGCATAACAAAGATCCTAAACTATTAAAATGTATTGGTATAAAAAAATGTTCTACCCCCTGGCGAGGAGGAGACATAAAAAAACTACTTGGAAAAATAGAAATGGAATGGGTGTATAACCTCAAGACCCTTATACCCCATGGCCTCAATGCAGACTTTGACCTATATAATTTTCTGTAATATAAAAACTATTTTACATGTCTGTTTTACACTAATGCCTTTTACCTTGTCTATACTGCATTTTTATACTCCAACTGCATTTTTATATTTTATTATTTTCTGTATTTATAGTAATGTTTTACTATTTTTCATTTTTTATCATTTTTATCATTTTTATCCTACATAAGTGTGCCCCTTCAGTATATGGTTATCTCTGTTATTTATTCTACCTTTGCCCCTCTCTATTTTGCCCCTATCTACTATATGCCCCTTCCTATTTTATATATAGCCCCCTTTTATGGGGACTTTTGTTTTCATGCCCCTTTAAATATGATCGACCTCAGCCGACTACACTTCCCATTAAGCATAGCGGCATTTTGTCCGAATACCGGAAGTGCCGCATGTTATATGTTATATGCTATGTTTCATTTGCTGATCTTATGCTCCAAACACTTTTGTTTTTAAATGGCAAAGTGTCGATCTATTTTAGACTTTGCTCTCTATGTGGTCTTGTTGGTTTCTCATGTCCCCCAATATATGGTAGTACCTATATTGTATATTTAGCCGCCATTGGCGGCTTATTGACTACATCTCCCATAAAGCACAGCGGCATTCAATCCGAAAACCGGAAGTGCCGCGCGTCATGTGCACATTTTCAATCGTTTCATTTATGCTTTCTAACCTTCGTTTTTGTTATCAAAGCCAATTATGAGTGTCCTCATACCCTATATTTTGCTCTTATTGATGTATTTTAATGTTTTTACACTGCTAAATGTAACTTAATTCTGATTGGATGGATCAATTTTGGCGCCAAATTTAAACTATCTGAACTCTTATATAATACAACTAGCCAGGAAATGTTTGTTATTCCATTTGATAAAGTCTGTTGACGAAACGCGTTATGGATATTTTATACTGTGTATTTCAATATTAAAGTAATTTTTGGTCATTTATTAGTGCCAACTATTCTTTATTCTAGTTCTATATACACATTATTCTCCTTTTTTACCTGGCTTTTTAGTATATTTTAGCATATTTTTAGTATTTCACTATTATATACCAACATCTACTTCGGAAGTCTCCTGTATTCCAAGAAATCCTAAAGGTGGGGATCAATCCACCTATGCTGATACACAAGAGCAGTCGGTCTGCTCCTCTTTTGTAAGTACGTTTTTATCTACTTATATTAAGACTACTAAAATAGTGAGCACTATCGGTTGTTTCTCTTCTTCCTTATTTGAGAGTTGGACACCACTGACGGAGAGAAACCCACAGCATATCCCATAAGCGGGGATCATACCGCCGCATGCGCTTCTATCCTAGAGCTGGACATAAGCTCTATTAAATGTGAGTTCTCCTATATTATTTTTCCACACGTCACCTTTGATATTATACAATACTGCACTATTGGTCGTCATTCTCTCTCCTTTTTTGTCTTCTATATGAGTGGAACCTATACAGCTTATGAAGACTTCATTGCTGCGTTACCTGCCATAAAGACTATCCAAAAGGACACTTAAGTTGAACTTTTATTTTATTTATTTTTTATTTATTTATTTATTCCATTGGACTTTTTTACTTGGAGTTACTTTATTTTATTCTCCTACTGGCGCTGCCTTTTTATTGTTGTGTATATTGTCCTGCAAAGTGTAGAAGGCTATTAACAGAGAAGCAGACAAGACACTCTAAATTAAACAGAATTATTATTATTATTGCCATTTATATAGCGCCATCAGATTCCATAGTGCTTTACAATATTATTAGAGGGGGATTTAACTATAAATAGGAAAATTACAAGAAAACTTCCAGGAACGATAGGTTGAAGAATGCACAATAAAGAAAGTTTAAACATTAGATGACTATTTACAGGAAGTTTTTCGGAAGGCTGTGCACATTACATGCACATTACATGCGGGGGTGACTACGGCTGCATAAATAAAGTGATCTCACTCCTAAATGGCAGAGAATTGAACAATGAGACTGCAATGGTATGATCTGTACACCCAAACTGCTTCATTAAGCTAAAGTTATTTGGAGGACAACAGTGTCCCTTCAAGCCGTACGCTCAAACACCCACAACTCATGGGCAGCTGCAATGATGATGCATTATCCAGTAGTGTGTCTCAGATGTCTCGCTCTGTCATTGCCCAATGACAGAGACACCTGAGACACAAAACTGGATTCACCATCTAGCTGTGATGTCCTTCCATCGATATGTAATCCTTTTCACTACACAATAATCATGACCTAATCTACAGGTTTATGGCACCATTATATTGTTAGTCATTGGGATGTCTGCTTTGTCATATTGTCTATCTTTTGCTCCGAGTTAGAATTCTGTGATACCATTGCTACTGTGATATTGCTCCAGTGTTAGAACGTTCCTGCTCAGATACCAGGACTGTGAATCTATTGATATCTTTGCTTTCTGCTCCTCTTGTTCTTTCTCCGTTACTCTTTATTATTGTAATGTATACTTCCATTCTTCTCACCATCCTGAAGATCCCAACCATTAGCGCGAGACAGAAAGCGTTCTCCACCTGCATTGTGTGTATGCATTATGGTATATTAGCAATTATCTATATATTCAAACCAAGAAACAGTTCAGCGAATATAAATGAGGGTCTTTCTTTATAATACACGTTGGTGATCCCATTGCTGAATCCCATTATTTATACCTTGAGAAATCAGGATATTAAAGCCACTATACAGAAAACAGATGGACATATAATTTGTATTAAAGAATTTGAGAATGTGAAACTGTTACTCCAGGAAACTGATCCTAACTCACGCACCTTGTTACTTTCTAACCAGACAAAGAACAAAATGATGCTTTATCCTAACCCCGTACCTAGGCACTAAGATTCCTACAGAGCTTTGAGGAGCATGGACATTTTGCCCAAGGTTTTGGCCAAACTGCAGGTATCCAATTCATCGATTCACCGACATTTGTGGTAAAAATATTCCTGACTCTTAATGTGAGTCACATTTTTGTAAGATTTATCGACAGATTTACCTACAGAAGTCACCGATAAAGGTGATGGGAATTTCTGTAGATAAAGAATTTGAAATTTTTCTAACAGATTGTGATCATTTGAAAGCATCTCCAAATAAAATGTATTTGAGGCCTTAGTTCTTGCTAATAGGATGCTAATTCTGACAGTCCCTCTGGGTAACATATATTTGACATCCTTCATACAGTTTAGTAGTTTTGGGAAGAACACTTATCTCAGTAGATTCATGGAAGACTTCATCATCATCTAATAAGCATATCGTTTGAAGGTAGCGACTTTCTTATCTGTACTGTGGTAGATATAGATAGGTAGAGCGATAGATCTCAGAAATCTAATTTCTAGTAAAAATAAATGGAAGTTTTCTAAAACTTTTTCTCAACTGAAACGTGACAATTAATAAACACGAGATTGTCAAAAAAATAAATACCACATAAGATGTTTATTGAGTTAAAGGGACCTAATGACAGTGGCATGTTTAATTGGTACAGTCCCATTTAAAGTGATATAATGGAGGTTAAAAAAAGAACACAGTTAACAGATAAATGTTTATTACTGATGTAGGTTCCAGTCATTGATAATAGCAATTGATATAATTAGTGTTTTAGCCCTATAATACCACATATTAATTGTGGTCTTTTTTGGAAGACATAATCTACTATATATAAATATATATACACATAATACAAAGAGTAATTAGCACAGGAGTGTGTGTAGATAGGGAGAGAATTCATGAACAAGTCATTAAATGTGCTTACCAAAAAAAGAATACTGTGTGTGTAGAGCTGGGATTAGTACAGGATGCTGTGTGTGCAGAGCTGGGATTAGTACAGGATGCTGTGTTTGTAGAGCTCGGATTAGAACAGAATGATGTGTGTGTAGAGCTAGGATTAGTACAGGATGCAGTGTGTGTGCAGAGCTGGGATTAGTACAGGATGCTGTGTTTGTAGAGCTGGGATTAGTACAGGATGCTGTGTTTGTAGAGCTGGGATTAGTACAGGATGCTGTGTGTGTAGAGCTGGGATTAGTACAGGACGCAGTGTGTGTAGAGCTGGGATTAGCACAGGATGCAGTGTGTGTAGAGCTGGGATTAGCACAGGATGCTGTGTGTGTAGAGCTACAATTAGTACAGGATGCTCTGTGTGTGTAGAGCTGGGATTAGTACAGGATGTTGTGTGTGTGTGTGTGTGTGTGGAACTGGGATTAGTGCAGGATGCTGTGTGTGTAGAGCTGGGAATAGTGCAGGATGCTGTGTGTGTAGAACTGGGCTTAGTGCAGGACGCTGTGTGTGTAGAACTGGGATTAGTGCAGGATGCTGTGTGTGTAGAGCTGGGATTAGCGCAGGACACTGTGTGTGTGTAGAGATGGGATTAGTGCAGGATGCTGTGTGTGTAGAGCTGGGATTAGTACAGGGCGCTGTGTGTGTGAGCTGGAATTAGTACAGGACGCTGTGTGTGTAGAGATAGGATTAGTGCAGGATGCTGTGTGTGTAGAGCTGGGATTAGTACAGGGCGCTGTGTGTGTGAGCTGGAATTAGTACAGGGTGCTGTGTGTGTAGAGATAGGATTAGTGCAGAATGATGTGTGTGTGTGTAGAACTGGGATTAGTACAGGATGCTGTGTGTGTAGAGCTGGGATTAGTACGGGATGCTGTGTGTGTAGAGCTGGGATTAGTACAGGATGCTGTGTGTATGTAGAGCTGGGATTAGTACAGGATGCTCTGTGTGTGTAGAGCTGGGATTAGTACAGGACGCTGTGTGTGTATAGAGCTGGTAGAGGTGCTTAGGGTGTTGTGTGTTTAGAGCTGGGATTAGTACAGGATGCTGTGTGTGTGTGGAGCTGGAATTAGTACATGATGCCATGTGCGGTTTTAGTGGAAGAGCTGGAATTATTCAAGGTATTTAAATTTGTCAATTTTAGTTAGTCCCATGGTTGAACAGGTTTTGGTCTCTATGTGAAAGTGGGATCATGTCCACACATCAGTGGGAATCACCCCTTCCTTGCTGTTGAGGGGTGGCAGGAGATTCTCTGACGACAGGAAGTAAAGTGGGAACTCCACAAGATGTCCTCTGATCCTGGTCAACATCTCTCGAGATAACTCAGAATCAGTGGTAGCTAAACTGGGCACCACCGTATATTCCCGTAGGGCACGATGACTCTGCACAGCATTAGTAGGAAGACAGCGGAATACCTGGGGACAGTGGGAAGGATGATGCAATAAATAATACGTTACAAAATTCGCACCTACGTATCAGAACAATTTCAACTACTACACTGATCGCAGTCTGTTCTTTTAAATATCTCGGTATGTAGTAGTATGACCCCTACTAAATCGGAGAACAGAATGTGGCAGGATATAAGAACAGGCTGGTTAGGAAGCCCTTCCACTCTACTGCCAGATAGGAAACCCGACACTTTTCTTAATGCAGAGAAAATATCCAAAAAGCGTTCATCCAACCAGCGGTGATAGAAAATAATCCTATGGTTATTCCTATTCAGAAAACAATATTACCACAAACAGTTTATAACACGTCCGCATTCCAGATCTCATCATGAATGAGATATATCTGAGAAACCACCTCTCTTCTCTAATTTAAACGGTAAATTTTATCCCATTACAGACCAAATGACTGCATATTACCATTGTAACAACCAATCTACAGACATCCTTTATCAAAATGACAACATGTAATTTCAATGGGCTTTCAGTCTGATAATTGTTACATGTTCCCCTTTCCATTCTCCCATCTAGGTTATATTTATTTTAATTAGTTTAATTTGTGATGACGTACCTGGTCATAAAGAGCTGAATTATTAAGGGCCGTCTGACACCAAACATCAGTAAAGAAACAATCACTGAGCGGATCAGAGACATCCAGAGCGGGGGAAGAGTGCGCCGCCAGGAGAGTGCTGTTTCAGACAGAAATACACAAAAAGTGATTAAATGTACTGTGTCATTGTGAGTACATGTCATGGTGTAGTAGTGTGAGTGAGTAGGAGGCTGACACTGTCAGTGCTGTATCTGTGCTGTGAGTACATGTCATGGTGTAGTAGTGTGAGTGAGTAGGAGGCTGACACTGTCAGTGCTGTATCTGTGCTGTGAGTACATGTCATGGTGTAGTAGTGTGAGTGAGTAGGAGGCTGACACTGTCAGTGCTGTACCTGTGCTGTGAGTACATGTCATGGTGTAGTAGTGTGAGTGAGTAGGAGGCTGACACTGTCAGTGCTGTATCTGTGCTGTGAGTACATGTCATGGTGTAGTAGTGTGAGTGAGTAGGAGGCTGACACTGTCAGTGCTGTATCTGTGCTGTGAGTACATGTCATGGTGTAGTAGTGTGAGTGAGTAGGAGGCTGACACTGTCAGTGCTGTATCTGTGCTGTGAGTACATGTCATGGTGTAGTAGTGTGAGTGAGTAGGAGGATGACACTGTCAGTGCTGTACCTGTTCTGGGAGTACATGTCATGGTCAGGGCCGGACTGGGGATACAAAGCAGCCCTGGAAAAAAAAATTTGTGCCAGCCCCATAAGTCACTGCGCCATATATTGTCGCATGTAATATGTAAGGCTATGTCTTGCCAGGACAGATGATTGAGTAATATATATATATATATATATATATATATATATATATTGCTTTTTTAATATAAAATATTGGTCTTTCAGGGTAAAACGTTTAATTATACAGTAAGCATACGCACATGCAGACACAGGCAATTTCACTGACATTTCAGTGACACACACAAGCTCATTGATACACAGCCTCATAGACAAACAATCTTACTGATATACATCAGCTCATTGACATAAAAACACAAGCTCACTCACTAGCAGGCACACGCATGCAAGCAAGCTCACTCACTAGCAGACGCACACACACAGCTTAATGTGGTGGTACTGGTGTCTATAGCATGTCCCTACAGGCTTTTCAACGTAAACACTGACTTTTCAGAGGCAGTGTTTACATTGCTTCAAAGTGACACTGCTAGTGACAGTCACTCAGACGGTCACTAGAGGTGCTTCCTGTGTTAGTGCACCTACATTCAGGGCCTCCACACTCTGTAGGTGCTGAACGTTCCCCATAGAGATACATTGATTCAATGCATCTCTATGAGGAGATGCTGATTGGAGTGGCGTTTTGCAGCCAATCCTATGGCAAAGCATTGGATTGGCTGAGATCATCAAGCTTGATGATCTCAGCTATAGAGGCAGGGCCAGTCGAGGGGAGACCAGCACGCTGCGTGGGGAAAAAAAAGGTGAGCAAAAACACTATTTTTAAACACACATTTACACCATGACAGACACAGAAACACACATATACCATGACAGATACACACCCCATGACAGACACACACACACACACACCATGACAGACCATGACACAGACAGACACACACCATGACGGAAAGATAGACACACACACACCATGACGGACAGACACACACACACACACACACCATGAATGACAGACAGACACACACACACCCCATGAATGACAGACAGACACACACACACCCCATGACGGACAGTCAGACACACACACCATACAGACAGACACCATGACACAGACAGACACACACCATACAGACAGACACCATGACACAGACACACACACACCATACAGACAGACACCATGACACAGACACACACACACCATACAGACAGACACCATGACACAGACAGACAGACACACACACACACCATACAGACAGACACCATAACACAGACAGACAGACACATGATTACTTATACCTGCCAGGTGAAGGCCGCTGGGGAGGTCTTCTGGGGGCATCTGGGGGACTTGTCCTGGCGGCCGCTGGGGGAGCTGCGCTGGCTCTGCTCTCCCGCCCTCGCGCGCTGCTTAATGAGACCGGCGCCGGAATATGACGTCATATTCCGGCGCCGGTCTCATTCAGCTGCGCGCTGGGGAGCAGAGCCAGCGCAGCTCCCCCAGCGGCCGCCAGGACAAGTCCCCCAGATGCCCCCAGAAGACCTCCCCAGCGGCCGACAGCAGACCCAGGTGTCTGCCCGGCCCCAGGTGCCGACGGCCCACCGGGAAATTTCCCGGTATCCCGGTGGGCCAGTCCGGCCCTGGTCATGGTGTAGTAGTGTGAGTGAGTAGGAGGCTGACACTGTCAGTGCTGTACCTGTTCTGGGAGTACATGTCATAGTCTTGTAGTGTATGCAGAGGTAGAACAGGGCCGGCACAACAGCTAGGTGAATTAGGAAGCTGCCTAGGGGGAGCGCAAAGTCCAGAGCTCCCCTCCTGCAGGTCACAACATTTAGCGTAGCCGAGCTGCGGATTGCATTGGAGGATCTTCTGTTACCCCTACCCGGTCTGACAGGAAGTGCTCGCTGGAAGTAACTAACAGCTTCCTGTCAGATCGAGTAGAGGAAAAAGAAGATCCTCTACCACGTTCCACAGCTTGTCTATGCTACATGGTGGAGGTAGCCTGGCACGGGGGAGGAAGAGACCACAAAGAGGGTGACGTGGCAAAGAAGCACACAGAAAGGCTTGCTGGGGACAAAGAGACACATACAAGGACTGGGGGAGTGTCACATACACACAGAGGGATTGAAGGAGAGAAAGAGACAAAAAGGAGTTAGGGGGTAGAAAGAGACACAAAAAGGGACTGGGGAAGGAGAAATAAAAGGGACACACAAAGGAGTTGGGGGAGAAAGAGCCACATTAATAGGCTGGGGGACAAAGAGCCACATTAAGGGGCTGGGGAGGAGAAAGAGCAACAAAAAGAGGCTGGGGATGAAAGATACACAAAGGATGACTTTGGGGAGAAAGAGACACACAAAAGTGATGAGAGGGAAGAAACACAGAGTGGGGCTTAGGAAAGAGAAAAAGGCACACAAAGGGGCTGAGGGAAATAAGAGTCACACAAAGTTGGCATTTTTTTTTTTGGTGGGGTTGCAAGCAGCTAGCCTTGTCAAGAGCACAAAACAATCTTGCACTGGCTCTGAGGAAGAGGCAGGCCCTATGTGTGTGTAGCATGGTGTAGTAGTGTGTGAGGGTGCTACTGGCACTGCCACTGTCTGTGCTGTACCTGTGCAGTGTATACATATCACAGTCTAGTAGTGTATGTGGATGCAGAGGCTGGCACTACCGCTGTATGTGCACTGTGAGTACATAGCACAGTGTAGCAGTTGGCACTGCCATGGTGTATACATTTCAATGTTACAGATGTGTGGGATCACTCACTTGAAACAGTCCATCCGGAGACCGTGAGCGAATTTGCCCGCCTGGTACGGCTTCTCATCCATCACTGAACTAACAAATTCTGTGTCTTCTACAATGACTGCCAGCTCACTGTCCCGCTTTCCCATCATGCTCCTGTCGTTAATATTAGCAGAGCCTTGAAAAAATAAAAATGCATTTAGATATATATAATTTTGTTACAAAACAACTGAAAAATCCTGAGGGAATATTATAAACACATTTGTCCATTTATATCAACAGAAAACCCACTAATTGATCCTAGCCTCAATTTCTTAAAGTCTGTAAACTAAACGGACCCTAAGTTAGTGAGGAGAACATAGAGTCCATTTGGGTTACGTTAGAATTTGGTAATCACACAGTAACTCGTGTACGTGTGATTTATAGGCCCCCAGGACAAATAGAAGTGTTAGATAATCTACTAGTTGAGGAAATAGCTAAAATGACAATGAAGGGGGAAGTTATCATCATGGGTGACTTTAATCTTCCTGATGTAAATTGGAAAACAAAATTAGCTACTTGTGCCAGGAGCACACATATTCTAAACTCCCTACTGGGATTGTCTCTAAAACAAGTCGTTGTGGAGCAAACTCATAAAGAGGCCATACTAGATTTAGTCTTAACAAATGGAGATTTGGTATCAGATATTACTGTAGGTGAACGTTTAGGATCCAGTGATCACCAGTCAGTATGGTTTAACCCCTTAAGGACACAACTTCTGGAATAAAAGGAAATCATGACGGAATATTGCATTAGGCTGGTAGGGAAAAGCAGAAAAATTAAGAAACCACTGCGGTACTCCGCAGATGTGGCCAAAATAGTAAAAAACTAAAAGTTAGCATTTAGTAATTGTAAAAAAAACCAGAGTGAAGAAGATAGAAAGATCTATAAGATTAGGCAAAAAGAAGCTAAGCAAGTTATAAGAGCTTCGAAATCACACACAGAAGAGAAAATAGCACAGTCAGTAAAAAAGGGGGACACAACATTTTTTATATAGATAAATGAGAAAAGGAAAGTAAAACAAGGATTAGTTAGATTAAAAACAAAAGAATGAAGGTATGTAGAAGAGGATAAAGGTCTAGCTGACTGCCTCAATGAATATTTTTGTTCAGTATTTACAGATGAAAATAAAGGAAAGGGACCTCAGTTAGGAAAAATGACAAATGAGTCATTTATTACATGTGAGATTACAGAGGAAGAGGTTCTATGTCAACTGTCAAAAGTAAAGACAAATAATCAATGGGACCTGATGGAATACACCCAAAGTTATTAAAAGAGCTTAGTAGGGGGCGGGATCTGACACAGGAGCTGAGAGGAAGCAAATCTCAACAGCTCCTACTGCCTACAGCGATTAAAGCAGAATTTCACTGCCCAAACTGCAATTTTTTAATGCGAAAAGGCATCCAAAACAGAGGTGACATTAAGCGGCACAAGATGACACTACCCAAGCGGCAATACAAGCAATACTCACCGACAAGAAAATGAGGCCTACAAGCATGGCGGGTGCGGGAGAGATGGCCGCTTTCCTGCTGCACAGACAGCCAGCATCTCTGCACAAGGGCCCTTGTTCCCCCCCTTTGGACCGGTGGGGGTCATCCCGATATACTCCCAGAAAGAGAGCATTCACCTTCAAATCTGACAGGTGGAAGATACAAGACCAGACCAAGATGGCTGACCGCACTACTTCCCACACGGAGCGACTAACACCCAGCAACTGGGCAGCAGCCTTCCACATGAGATTTGATGCCATATGTAAACAATTTTGGGAACGCCTGGAGAACAGGCGCCAACCACCAGCACCATCACAGGTCAGCATTGTGGCTAGAGCACCAACAGCACGACAGCCAGCTGAATTCCTGTCCCCTGAACGGTGAAAAACCGAGGCGCAGCCGGGGGGGGCCCCGCCTGGGCAAAACAACTAACAGAGCTACCAACTATGATCCTAATGGCCCGTCTGTAACAAGAGCCACACGCGGGGCGACCTCTACTCACCACCCACGCTTGCAGAGGGGAGTAAGACTGCAGCAGAAGAAACAGAATGCAGCTCTTTGCAGCCCCACATTGGGGAAGGACAGAAAATAAATGAGCCATTTATTACACGTGAGTTTACAGAGGAAGAGGTTTTATTTCAACTGTCAAAAGTAAAGACAAATAAGTCAATGGGACCTGATGGAATACACCCAAAGCTATTAAAAGAGCTTAGTGGTGTACTAGCAAAACCATTAACAGATTTATTTAACCAATCATTGTTAACAGGAGTAGTCCCAGAAGATTGGAAGTTGGCGAATGTTGTGCCCATTTACAAGAAAGGTAATAGGGGCCATCCGACCCTTCTGGAAAGGCATACACGGTTTCCTCCAAACATTTTCTGATGCACCATCACCCTTCCTACCCGAGGCCATGCTCCTACACCACACGAAGACCCCCAGATCACGATACAAGAAATCACTAACCATACGAATGTTAAATGTAGCCAAACAGGTGCTCCCACAATTCTGGAAGCAGACAGTCACACCCCCACTGACTACTTGGTTTGCCCAAATGGAAGAGCTTAGGGCAGTGGAAGAACTTAACATGTGCCCCACTAACGCCTCTGACAAATATCTAGAAATCTGGTCACACTGGCTCCTGACGACCTCCAAAGACGACTTCGCGCACAGACTCAGATACGTGGACCAAGCGACCGCAGACGAAGACATACCCCGACAGTAACCCGACCCCCGACAGACAGAACCCTCACAATACACACACGCCCCTACAGACCGCACGAACTGCGACGAAAACTCACTATAACTTCGACTCCTACACCACAAGTTGGACAACGTTTCCCCCGACCTCTTAGAAGGCGGCATCACGCAGAAGCCTGCGAGATACAATCGCCTCTGCACTTGCCACAAAGGCGACTATACCGTTACTCTACCTACCACCTAAGGACAGGCGGGCCGCTGGCACGAGCACACAAACAAGCATTGATACATGACGCGACCCGAAACCTCTTGACACGGGCACTAACTCTAGGTATGTGGGGACCTGTAGGTCCATACCCTCATATATCGCACCAAGTGAAAATACTACCTAATGAATATGTTTCATGGGACCTGCGAGTCCAACAAACCACTGTTTCCAACGTTACAATGTGACCTGCGCGTCACCAATTTTTGTTTGCATGTTCATTATCTTCTTCTCCTCGAATATTTGAACGAGGCAACCTTTATATCAAATAAAAATATATTTACAAAAAAAAAAAAAAAAGAAAGTGTAGTAGGGAGGAGTCGGGCAACTATAGGCCTGTAAGCCTTACTTCAGTAGTGGGGAAAGTAATGGAAACCATGTTAAAGGATAGGATTGTTGAACATCTAAAAACACATGGATTTCAAGATCAGAGACAACATGGGTTTACTTCAGGGAGATCATGCCAAACTAATCTTATTGATTTTTTTGATTGGGTAACTAAAATTATAGATCAGGGTGGTGCAGTAGACATTGCTTACCTAGATTTCAGTAAGGCTTTTGACACTGTTGCACATAGAAGGCTTATCAATAAACTGCAATCTTTAAGTTTGGATTCCAATATTGTTGAATGGGTAAGGCAGTGGCTGAGTGACAGGCAACAGAGGGTTGTAGTTAATGGAATATATTCGAAGCTTGGACTTGTCACCAGTGGGGTACCTCAGGGATCTGTACTTGGACCCATTCTCTTTAATATTTTTATTAGTGATATTGCAGAAGGTCTTGATGGTAAGGTATGTCTTTTTGCTGATGATACTAAGATATGTAACAGGGTTGATGTTCCAGGAGGAATAAGCCAAATTTAGGTAAACTAGAAAAATGGTCAGAGCTGTGGCAGCTGACATTTAATGTGGATAAGTGCAAGATAATGCATCTTGGACGTAAAAACCCAAGGGCAGAGTACAGAATATTTGATAGAGTCCTAACCTCAACATCTGAGGAAAGGGATTTAGGGGTGATTATTTCTGATGACTTAAAGGTAGGCAGACAATGTAATAGAGCAGCAGGAAATGCTATCAGAATGCTTGGTTGTATAGGGAGAGGTATTAGCAGTAGAAAGAGGGAAGTGCTCATGCCATTGTACAGAACACTGGTGAGACCTCACTTGGAGTATTGTACGCAGTACTGGAGATCATATCTCCAGAAGGATATTGATACTTTAGAGAGAGATCAGAGAAGGGCTACTAAACTAATTCATGGATTGCAGGATAAAACTTACCAGGAAAGGTTAAAGGATCTTAACATGTATAGCTTGGAGGAAAGACGAGACAGGGAACATTTAAACACATAAAGGGAACATAGTAAAGGAGGAGACTGTATTTAAAAGAAGAAAAACAACTAGAGGACATAGTCTTAAATTAGAGGGGCAAATGTTTAAAAATAATATCAGGAAGTATTACTTTACTGAGAGGGTAGTGGATGCATGGAATAGCCTTCCAGCTGAAGTGGTAGATGTTAACTATAAGATAAGGTCAGGAAATAATGAAAGTATTTAGAAATTTGGGCAGACTAGATGGGCCGAATGGTTCTTATCTGCCACATTCTATGTTTCTATGTTTCAATGGGAGACACAAAGTTACAAAGTGGAGAGTTTAAACTATTAGCACTACATGCAATCACATCACAGCAAGCAAACATAATAATACGCCACACACGTTTACATTTGTATTTGTGCCAGTTTGTTTTTTGACAGGGAAAATAAACGTTAAAAACTCAAAAATGGAATGAGAGAGAACGAAACTTAACAGGACAAACCAGCACAAACGTAGCACTAACCAACCAGCCCGGTTTCATGTCTTTTGGCTGTTGTAGGACGGCTGGGTGACTTTTGGTGACCTTTCTTTAATCACTAATTATCTTAATAATAAAAGCAGCACAAATCTTAATTTTTACAGCACAAACGTAGCACTAACGAAACACATTGGATTTTTTATTTGGGCCAACTGTAGGGGGTTCAGCTTCACACAGCTAATTTATATTGGTTGATTGTAAGCAGCAGGCACCAATCTTCACCATCAAAAAGCTAATTAAAATGTTAATATATAACCAAATGTTTGGAAGAAAATTCATGAGAAAACAAAATGGATAATTAATGAAATTCAGTTCAGTTCTAAATTGGGGGGGGGGAACGTTTAATGAATGATCGGGACTAATTGATTAAACAAGTCTATCAAATGTCTAATTCCTCAGCGTCCATTGATGGTGGGACATTAAACTCATGAAATGCTTTTTATTTGGAGAGTCCATTCCCATCCAGTGCTGATACTGCTGACAGCAATGCGCAGGATCTCATTTGGCACTCAGCGTTGTTTGTCTGCAACCTCACAAGTAACAACAGAAAGCAGAGCTGGACTTTACAATGAGGGAGCAAAGGGGAATAAATGCTAAATTCACAAAACATGGAGCAATTTCTAATCTCTGCCCAAAACATTACAAGAAAGTGTTCCATCATCTCACATGATATTTCCTTTTAGCTTGTTTCCTTATAAGAAATGGATTTGCTTTGGAATCTAAATCTGTGTAAAAGATGGGGATAAAGATGCAGATTCTAATTTTGGAACTCTGAAAACTGCTAGGAACTGGCGGCCAAGGCAATTTCTGATAGAAAATGGTAAACCATGGTTTCCAGGCTCAGACACTTACCGATGATGACTTTTCGATCATCCACAATTAGCAGCTTGCTGTGTATGTAAATGAGCTCGGTAACGAGCGACCCGTCTGGCATTTCCCCATGCGTACGTAGACCACATACTGAGAGATACGACCGCCAGCTGTCTCCCACTAAAAGAAATGCGCCCTGAGTTAGAACCAAATATAAACAGCTAAAGAGCACAGATAACGGATAACACTGGCTCCCATAATCCTCTACTGCTATCCTTGCCCTGCTAGAAAACATTGCAATGAATATCAATCAGGATTCCCTAAAGCTTTGTAAACTGCCCCCACTTACTCCTTTCCTTCAGACGGGAGATAATAGAGTTGTCTCCTCTGCAAATAGTGCTGTAGAAACAAAGAAATGTTAGATTTGCATGATGTCCAAACTGGCATGGAACAAGGAGACCTAACTGGAGCTATTTACCTTGATTTTGCAAAGGCCTTTGACACAGAAGACCACGACATTCTACTGCACAAACTCAAATTGGTGATCGTCCCCTAACCTGCTTTCAGTGATATGTATCAGATCTATTTCAACATGTGTCCATTTCTGACATCGCCTCTCTCACTCTGTCACATGTGGTGTTCTCCCAAGACTCCATACTCGGCCCCCTACTATTCACATTGTTCATAAATTATCTTCCTAACGTCTGCAAAGCCTCAACTGTACACATGTACACAGACAACACTGTAATCTACGCTAGCAAACCAAATTTACTGCAGCTTGAGGCTGTGCTCCAAAACCAATTCACAGAGGTAGAAAAGTGGATAGCGGATAACAAACTCTTCCTAAACACTGACAAAACCGTTACAATGGTCTTTGGAACTGTACCTAAATTACATAAACTACAAAATCAACAACTGTGTATCAGAACAATTCAAATAGCACACTGACAGCAGTCTGCTCTTTCAAATACCTAGGCATGCGTTGACATTGAAAAAACCTCTTGAAAAAACTTTATCCAAAACTAGGTACCCTGTACAGATACAAATCCTGCCTAAGCCCTAAAGTAAGGAAATAGATTCTAATGGCAGTCATTGAATATGGGGATGTAATGTATGCACCGGCATCGCAAACTCACCTTAATAAACGTACTGTGTTGTATAACTCGTTATGCCCCTTTGTGCTACAATGTAATTACATGATCCACCACTGTGACATGATAAAAGAACTAAACTGGCTGTCGCTGGAATCCCGACGCACTCTTCATCTTTCCAGCTTTGTGCATAAGAACTTTTCTGGGAAGCTCCCACCGCAATTATGGAATAACCTCTCAGACACACTTAAATCCCAGTAAAGGGAATCCTGTCAACATATGTCAGCACAGAATGCAATCATGTAATCATGGTTGATTATACTGCTTACCTGTTCTGTGTTAAATGTATATGTGTATTTAAGGTGACACTTTAGCTCATTGATGCCTACTGCAGGATGGGAGGGGGTAGGGGGTAGGAACTTGCATGCCTACTACAGGATGGGAGGGGGTAGGTACCTGTATGCCTACTGCAGGATGGGAGGGGGTAGGTACCTGTGTGTCTACTGCAGGATGGGAGGAGGTTGGTACCTGTATGCCTACTGCAGGATGGGAGGGGGTAGGTACCTGTATGCCTACTGCAGGATGGGAGGGGGTAGGTACCTGTATGCCTACTGCGGGATGGGAGGGGGTTGGTACCTGTATGCCTACTGCAGGATGGGAGGAGGTAGGTACCTGCATGCCTACTGCAGGATGGGAGGGGGTAGGTACATGTATGCCTACTGCAGGATGGGAGGAGGTAGGTACCTGTATACCTACTGCAGGATGGGAGGAGGTAGGTACCTGTATACCTACTGCAGGATGGGAGGGAGTAGGTACCTGTATACCTACTGCAGGATGGGAGGGAGTAGGTACCTGTATGCCTACTGCAGGATGGGAGGAGGTAAGTACCTGTATGCCTACTGCAGGATGGGAGGAGGTAGGTACCTGTATGCCTACTGCAGGATGAGTGGGGTACTTACCTAAATGTAAAGTGCAGGATTGCTTGTATTGAATTTCCTCCTCCTACATTAATGTTGCCTTCAAACCCAGGGATCAGTGGGATCACAATGAAAACTCGGAACTTGGTATTAGTGCTGCAATATTATCGATATTGTTACCATCACAAGAAATAATTACACAGCAATACCCCCTCCCCCCACGGTTACTAATTACAGCTACAAACACAGCATCCTGTACTAATCCCAGCTCTACACACACAGCACCCTGTACTAATCCCAGCTCTACACACACAGCGTCCTGTACTAATCCCAGCTCTACACACACTCACAGCATCCTGTACTAATCCCAGCTCTAGACACACAGCGTCCTGTACTAATCCCAGCTCTACACACACAGCATCCTGTACTAATCCCAGGTCTAAACACACAGCATCCTGTACTAATCCCAGCTCTACACACACAGCATCCTGTACTTATCCCAGCTATACACACACACAGCATCCTGTACTAATCCCAGCTCTACACACACAGCATCCTGTACTAATCCCAGCTCTACACACACAGCATCCTGTACTAATCCCAGCTCTACACACACAGCATCCTGTACTAATCCCAGCTCTACACACACAGCATCTGTACTAATCCCAGCTCTACACACACAGCATCCTGTACTAATCCCAGCTCTACACACACAGCATCCTGTACTAATCCCAGCTCTACACACACAGCATCCTGTACTAATCCCAGCTCTGCACACACACACAGCATCCTGTACTAATCCCAGCTCCGCACACACACACAGCATCCTGCACTAATCCCAGCTCTACACACACAGCATCCTGTACTAATCCCAGCTCTACACACACACAGCATCCTGTACTAATCCCAGCTCTACACACACAAAGCATCCTGTACTAATCCCAGCTCTACACACACAGCACCCTGTACTAATCCCAGCTCTACACACACAAAGCATCCTTTACTAATCCCAGCTCTAGACACACACACAGCATCCTGTACTAATCCCAGCTCTACACACACACAGCATCCTGTACTAATCCCAGCTCTACACACACAGCATCCTGTACTAATCCCAGCTCTACACACACAGCATCCTGTACTAATCCCAGCTCTACACACACACACAGCATCCTGTACTAATCCCAGCTCTACACACACACAGCATCCTGTACTAATCCCAGCTCTACACACACAGCGCCCTGTACTAATCCCAGCTCTGCACACACAACATCCTGTACTAAACCCAGCTACACACACAGCATTCTATACTAATCCCAGCTTTACACACACAGCATCCTGCACTAATTCCAGCTCTACACACACACACACAGTATCCTGTACCAATCCCAGCTCTACACACACAGCATTCTGTACTAATCCCAGCTCTACACACACAGCACCCTGTACTAATCCCAGCTCTACACACACGGCACCCTGTACTAATCCCAGATCTACACACACAGCACCCCGTACTAATCCCAGCTCTACACACAGCACGCTTTACTAATCCCAGCTCTACACACACAGCACCCTGTACTAATCCCAGCACTACACACACAGCGTCCTGCACTAATCCCAGCTCTACAAACACAGCATCCTGTACTAATCCCAGCTCTACACACACAGCACCCTGTACTAATCCCAGCTCTACACACACACAGCATCTTGTACTAATCCCAGCTCTACACACATAGCAACCTGTACTAATCTCAGCTCTACACACACAGCACCCTGTACTAATCCAAACTCTACACACACAGCAACCTGTATTAATCTCAGCTCTACACACACAGCATCCTATACTAATCCCAGCTTTACACACAGCATCCTGTACTAATCCCAGCTCTACACACACAGCATCCTGTACTAATCCCAGCTCTACACACACAGCATCCTGTACTAATCCCAGCTCTACACACACAGCACCCTGTACTAATCCCAGCCCTGCACACACAGCATCCTGTACTAATCCCAGCTCTACACACACAGCACCCTGTACTAATCCCCGCTCTACACACTCAGCATCCTGTACTAATTTCAGCTCTACACACACACAGTATCCTGTACTAATCCCAGCTCTGCACACACACAGCATCCTGTACTAATCCCAGCTCTACACACACAGCATCCTGTACTAATCCCAGCTCTACACACACAGCAACCTGTACTAATCCCAGCTCTACACACACAGCATCCTGTACTAATCCCAGCTACACACACAGCATCCTGTACTAATCCCAGTTTTACACACACAGCATCCTGTACTAATTCCAGCTCTACACACACACACACACACAGTATCCTGTACCAATCCCAGCTCTACACACACAGCATCCTGACTAATCCCAGCTCTACACACAAAGCAACCTGTACTAATCCCAGCTACACACACAGCACCCTGTACTAATTCCAGCTCTACACACACAGTATCCTGTACTAATCCCAGCTCTACACACACAGCATCCTGTACTAATCCCAGCTCTACACACAAAGCAACCTGTACTAATCCCAGCTACACACACAGCACCCTGTACTAATTCCAGCTCTACACACACAGTATCCTGTACTAATCCCAGCTCTACACACACAGCATCCTGTACTAATCCCAGCTCTACACACACAGC